CAAAGGTAGATGCACCGGCAAGGTAGGCCGAGATGCGATGTAGGGCGTCGTAATGGGTCTGGTCGCTAACTAGTTAAAAGTACATGCTATGTCCACCCTGGTCATGGTCGCGGTATATCCAAGGATACCAAGCAGTTGGCGGTATTTGCCGGAAAGTAGTGGGCCAGTGAATGATCCAGGGTGAGCGTCTGTGCCAGGGGTCGATTTATCCGGTTGATCATGTGCATGGAATGTGTCGAGCATACGAACTGAATAATAATCCTAAGAAAGAGATATAGAGCCGTCGGGATGTTGGACGACGTGAAAACCGACGATGTGGGTAGCAAGCCCCAGGTTGGTGAGTATGAAACTATCGGAGAGCTGGGTATATAGCCAAAGGGGATAAAGCGAGTCCGGAGGGGCGGCTGGAAGAATTTCGTCAACGTAGGTTATGACTGCAAGAGCACTTGTGTTAGGATTCCAGATGCATTCATCCTCAACTTTTTGAGCGAAGTCAGAGTCTCGATGTAGTCAGGAAGTCTCTGATAGGGTTTATTTAGGATTAGAGTTTATTTGATATTTGGTTTTTATTAGAGACCACAATTTGAACCGGGTTTATCTAATCAGATCAAAACTGATTAACGGAAAACACATGACAAAATGATAGTCATATGAATAGTTCAATAAATGAACAACGTTTACCCTTGTACGAGGGGAGTACGTTAAGATACAGTTATCTTCGACTACTTCCTACATCGAGGGGTGTCTCTTAGATCGAGGTTCCGTATCCTTCCTGTCTGTTTGAGTCCATAAGGTCCCTGTGAAGTGGTAGTATGGTACTGGGATAATAGTGATCGAGTTCTACAGACCTTATGTGGATACATACAGACTGGAGCATCGAGTTTATCATATTAGAAAGCAGAGGTGACATCGAAGTGGTAGATTTGATAGTCATGGAATGCGCGTATGGCTGCGAAAGTACGGATAGCAGTAGCAGCGGCGGCCGGAGTATATGTATCCGTATAGCTGTCGCCATACTCCTGTTCGTCGCCGCGAGTCACCATGCAAGCTTTATATCTAGTCAGACCGCCGTGTTCGTCATGTCTGATCGCAAAAACACATTCACTGTGAATAACTTTAGCCGAGTGGGGAGCTTCCGAGATAGAGATTGTGGTAGCCAGTTCCTTACGAATGTGATTCTGTCTTTCGGTCTCGATAGCATCTTTCCAGTGGGTCCAGTTTCTATGGACTTGATAGTACCATCTAGACCCATCGGGATGCCGAGCATCAGGGATGCCGAGCGGAAAATAGTATTGAGCGGAGATGTGGCATCTATGTATAGCGAGGGGTGGATGGGGGAAGACCAGGGCATACCTTTAAAGGTGGTGAAGTGTGGGATGTAGGGGAAAGAGGGATAGGAGTAGGGACATGGTGAATTACTGATGAGTGAGGATGTGAGGCAATGAAGTCAGGAGCGTCCGGAGTGGCCGGTGTCGTAAGGGGGCTGACGAATGTTCATTGAGTGTGCGTGAGGGTAACAGTATCTGAGGTGGTTTCACTGTAGGCCTGGGAACTTAGAAGCATGCCCGGTAGGAAAGGGTAGAGGGAAAATAGACGGACAGAAATGGTGGAGGATGGGGAGTTTGCTGAAGTGTGGAAGTCTGCTGTGGGGGTACATGTGGAGGTGTGTGAATGAATGAGGCAGAGGGCCCTGCGTCCAAGTGTGGTGTAGTTGCAGGTAGAAGAGGAGGCGGAGAGAGGGGAGTCGTCGTGGGGAGTGGTAATATGTGAGATTCTTGGTTGATAGCTGGTGTTGGGTAGCAAATTTTGGACACGGTGGTGACCTTCTGTTTGATAGGATGGTGTGATTGGGAGGGTACCGGGGGTGATTGAGGGGGGGGGGGATGGAAACTCGGCGGGGGCGGGTTCTGGTGAGATGTCGGCCTGTTGAATAG